TTGTTGCACTTTCTTATCAATCAGTTTACTTATAGATTGACTATGAATCGACAAAGGTTGTGTCTGTAGCAGGAAGTAGTAAAACGCGTTGTCAGCTTAATGGTAACAGTTTCGTTTATCACATAAAATATTATGGATGCACGTGTGTCTCGAATTAAATGCATATCAGTTTGATGCCATTAAGTCAAATAACTCTATGTGATTAAACATATATATTTGAGGGAGACATACCTAACAAAATATGTATTTATATGGGCCTATTTGTGCTTGCCACTGTATATATTTACATACATTCACATTTATCAATTATCAAAAGCTTCCTTGAGCTCACGGATTGATGTCTGACAATCAGTTGTTGATAAGACAAACACGCACGACTGTTTTTGAGACGGAAACTACAATCATCCGATTTATTTGTGTGTTTTAAGATTAGGAGTATATTATTCATCACATTGGTTATCTCTGATATTTTTTATTACACTGTAGTTGCTAAAGTTTCTTGTGTACTTAAATTGTGCGTATTTTGGTTCTACGACGCTTCGAGTGTAGCGAATCGAACAAACAACTGGCATAAATTCAATAGATTATTATGCCACGTAGAGTTAGAAGAGCGGACAGTTATACTATTGTACTGTAATGTGGTGACCTCATAAGATTTTGTGTTCAATTCAACTGGATAACCTTGAGTATGTTTGCCAACACAAATAATTTTATAAGAGAGCAGAAGTTAAGAGACGCACCCAAGGTTAAATTAAAAAAAAAAAATTGTTTTTTTTTTATTTTTTTTATATGTTTACCGATATCTCAAATAGTTTTTGAGTTACAGCCTTCTAAAGTGTAGCCATTCAGTTCAATCAACTCCATCAGTTTATGTTTAAACGCGTTTTTCTTGAAAGAGCATTTTTGAAATTTGCCTGAGTGATTATTCGGAGACAAATAATCCGATCACTATCAAATCTTTTTGCATGTTCTGTATATAGTTCTCTATACAATGATCTACCAGTGCTTTGAACTGTACAAAAGTCGAATTTTGGCAGGCCAAAACGACCGAAATTTTGCGTAGATTAAAATTTTTTAACACCGCCATTTTGCTTACTTTTGATTGTTTTGCGACCGTAAGTCCTCGTACGAACAATACCTTCTAGAAATTTTTTTTAGGTTTTATCCACGGCGAATCAGCAGTCGGAAACAAGGCAGCAGTAGAGAACTTTCTTTTAGCACCGTCGAAGATCGCGTGTAACTCGAAAAATATTTAATTTTTTTCATCAATATTTTATGATTCAATGCTTTAAAATTATAAGCACTAAAGATACAATTGATATTTCTTTTTAAAAATAATTTTGAACGACTTCGTTGAACCTTTTCGTTATTTGAAAATTTTAGAATATGTATTTTAAATTGAGTTTCATACGAGTATTTATTTCATATTACAATATTAAAGATATATAAACATATTAGAGCCACAAAAGAATGATTTTATTTTTTACACTGCAGAAAGTCAAGGTTTGATACAAATTATGAAGTCATAAGGACAGCTATATTTTATTTTATTAAAAATGCTGTTGAAACACCTTGTAACTTATTGGTTTTTTGTACGCAAGTATTTTCGCAAGCAAGGCTAATTGCAAAACATAACTACTTACATGCTCGTGCGCTTTTCACGGACACGTGGGCAAAACGTTATTCATTTTATGTGCTATACATAGCATATACATGATACATACATAAGTGCAAATACTCACACATTATACACATGTATGTATGCAATCGAATTATCAACGGAAAATTACTAATCTAAAATAAATATCAACAATATGTATATTCAAGTATGAATTTATTACAAAACTTGCACTTTTCCAATACACATACATACATATATAGAATATTATTTATTTATTCTGCTCGGCCAATTAAATATTTCCTATCTGTCTATATTTACTATTTCGAAGTAGATTTCTACATTCTTAGAGCATTGCTCTGGCATTGATAAGCTCTCGAAATAAACACGAGTTTTGTTCAAAAGTATCGCGAATTTTGTATTTCTTAAGAAAGTGTTTATACATATATTCATGAATATCTATTCCAGCGTTTTTTTCCAATCCCTAAAGCATTTAAAAAAACATGTTTTTGTGATCTTGTTCAGCTCCTCCTTCGTTTTTATCTCCTTTCATAGGCTTTTTCAGTTTTGGGAAGAAAAAAGGCACAGGGGCCAGGTCTGGGAAGTATGGTGGCTGCGGTACCATTAATGTAATGTTTTTGGCCAAATATTCGCGCACAAGCATCGATGGGTGATCAGGGGAGTTATCATTGGGCAAAAGCCAATTTTTGTTCTTCCACAAATCTGGGAGTTTCAGACGGACTACTTCGCGTAAATTGCGCACAACTCACAGATAATATTCTTTATTGACCGTACGACCCTTAGGCAAGAACTCATGATGCACGATGCCGCTGCAATAGAATAAAATTATGAGCAAAACCTTTACATTCGACCGAACTTGGCGCGTTCTTTTCGGTCTCGGTCTCCACGTCATAAGCCATGATTCATCACCAGTTATTTGCCCACTGGAGCAAATCTGGGTCGTCGCGCACTGAGTCTAATATCTCCTGAGAAATGTCAACGTGACACTGTTTTTAGTTCGACTCAGCCTTTCACTAGTTATGATTATTTGTTGAGTCTTCGACGTTTTCTTCAAGCTTAAATTTTTAAAATGAGTAAGAATCCGTCATTTCTCTAATCAGTTGAAGATTCCAACAATACAGAGCAAATTTAATTTTATTATCGTTATTGGTGCAATAACTCTATTAAAGGTGCATAAAGATAAATTTTGGCAAAATTAACGGTAGTTTGAAAGAAGTGTGACATTACCCATTTCAATGGCATACTTTTGGCTTTAACTGAGAAATTTTATAATTTTTAACAGTTATAAAACAGTGTAATTTTTTAAATAAAAATCCTTTTGATTGGGTTTTAAGTTTTTATTGTTTTATTTTTTTTTTTAATTTATTTAGTTTGTTTTATTTCTTTTAATTTTTTAATTTTATTTTTTTATTTATAAAAAGTGTATTTCTTTTTAATTATCTAACAACAATTTTAATTCTTTTTTAATATTTATTTAATTTTTTTTATTTTGTGGGTTTAATTTTGTTATATAAATTTTTTTTATTTATTTCTTTTAATTAATAATTAGTTTTTTTTGTATTACTTTTTTTTTTTGGTTTTTAACGAAATTTTTTATTAATTATTTAATTTTTTATTTATTTTCTTTAGTTATTGTTATTATTTATTTTTGTAATCTTTGTGTCAGGGAAATTAACCTCGCTGTCAGATATGTTGTAAAAATATATAATACTTAGCAATATTGAAAGCAGCCCCGAAGTAGACATTTACATACGCTACAAGTTATTTACACAAAAAGGTAGCACAGATGTAAGCTCATTAATATTTCCATAAGTACTCTACGCCGAAAATTTATGACCATAAAAATGTTAAACGAACAACAAAGAAATAAATTTACACATAAATAAACAAATGTTGGTATAATGTTACCAACTCCCAACGCATTTATGCCTCGTAAAATACTAATCACAAAACACTGTGCACAAAATGTATACGATCGGCTCAGAGTTTTTCAGTAATCACGTGTTGAGTGCATGGCACACGTTTGTTGTTTGTTTGTTCATTTTATTGCCATTGGAAAAATACAATGCAAACGGCTTGTATGACGCTCACACACACACACATACACCACTAAACTTATTCATGCATTTGCTTAACCATAAAAAATTAGAGGTGCAGGATGGCCTCAGCTGTTTGGTTGACTGTTCCATTGTCTGGACGGATGGATGCACATCAGCGACGAAAACTAAACCAACCGATGTGATAGTAAAAGCAAAACAAAAGACATTAAAAAGTAATAATAGACTGAGTTTTGTGTCTCTTCTGGATATGCTTGAAGGCGCAAACAACTAAACCAAAACTACAACAACACTACAAATGCAACGAAAAACTGGATGTTTGTTGCGGCTTGCACACCTGTCTCGCTTTGGGTATTGTTTGACAGTTAACAAAGGAAGGATGTTTTTCTACAAAGATGTTGCTTCGGATATATAAAGATATAATCAAATTTGGTTTATATGTACTCACATATTTTGTAAATAGTTTTTAGCAGGCATTTAGAGTATCTTATACGTTTTAACCTGCTTGCAAAGAAAAGTGTAGATAAAGTAGATTGAGATAGAGTATGGAAAGGGAAACAACATCCATTTTATTTTTGAGAAATTTTCATCAAAATCCGCATAAAAACAATAGAAAATAGGAAAATCAAATACGAAAATTCTTAAAAAACCAATACGGAATTCTTAACGGTCAATTACTTCTGGAGTCTCATGTTACCAGACTGTTTTAAACCTTAAAATATGAGCTAGAAGTTCTTGTATCAATCTATTATGAAAATATGATGTCAATTTTGCACACAACAGCTGCCACAGAAAAATATGTATTACAGGTAAATTTCACATTAATTAATACTGAGTCATAAAAAATACCGAAAATCAATTTGTAATAATCATAACCATTTGTATTAAATCTATTTTAGTAAAGCCATTCCGGCTCGCCAAATGACGTAGTCTGCAAACTGTTGTCCTTTTGCTTATACTTATATATGTGATATGTTTTGCCAGATCTTACATATGAATATACATACTTATGTATACCTACATTTCCCTAATGGCATTAATATATATATGTATATACCTACATCCACTTGAATATCCTTCTAATGAGTAATATTTAATATGCATAAAAAATTGATTAAAAAGCGTAATGAATGAATTTGGTCACGCCCACATCTAACTAAGTGGAACTGTGTATATGTGTATATGGATGTATGTACATATGGATTATATATGTATGCTTAGGTATGCGCACATATGCATACATATATCTAAATAAATAAGTACATAAAGAGATAAATATCGAAAGTAAAAGCGTGTCTACTCACATTAACTAAGCTGACGCCGAAGCAGGCCACCCAGCCCCAACCGCCATCGGGAGCAACCTTACGTGTTTGCTTCATATTTTACGCTGGAACGCTGTGTTTTGTTGTTTGCTTTGAATAGTTGTATATATATATATATATATAAATATATATATATTGTTTTTTTTTATCACTATTTGTTTTTGGTATTGTATTGTTTGGTTGTTTGTTCGATTGGGGGGTGGATATGTTGCTGTTACTGCTGCTGTTGAACTTTTGATATTTTCAATTGTTGTTTTTGTTTTTTGTTTTGTTATTTTAAATGCTCTTTTTATCTGCTTTTTGTTTTTTTTATTTTGTTGGCACTGTTTAACTGCTTTTCTTTATCGGTGGGCTATTTTGTTCACACTACTTGTTTTGCTTCCTGCTTTCGCTATTATCCGCGCATATTATTTTCGTGTCGTTGTGACTTTTGTTCAGCGCTGTTCTTTTGAAACGTAATATTCTGCTGTTGCTTATACTTATTTGTTATTCACGCAGCAAATCGTTCGGCGCTTGGATTTGTTTTTTTGCGTTGTGGTGATATTTTGGGCACTTTTGTTCTTGGTGGGTTTACTTAGGTTAGGTTGTTGTTGTTGCTGGCACTAGGTGGCATAGTCTTATGATTAACATATTGGTTGTTGTATGTAAATGCATACATAAGCGTCTATGTGCATACGTCAGATTGGATATTCTCGTAATATTTTTCTTATAGTTGGCATTTTCTCTTTGGACTTTGGCAAATATGGTATACGTAAGTTTGTTGTATTTATGTTTGTATTTATACTAAGTGTTTAGTATCGGCGCTTATCTCATTAATTAACTGCAAAATAAACAAAAAAAAACAAAATAACAATAAATAAAATTCTTGAAAAAAAATGTTAGTAATGATTAGTTTATGCATTTTTAGATTTTTATTAGTTTGCACACTTTATTGTCAGTAATTTTCCATTCATATGCTATTGCTAATTCACTTTAGTAATTTAATTACTAAAAGTTTCAACGTTTTCACATGTTCGACGGGCGTGAATTGATTTTTGCTTTTTAACTTTGTTGGTAATATTCATTTCCGGTGCGGCAAACACAGAATGCATTTGGCGTAGCTTTTCCGCCTTTTTCAAATATTTACTGATTATAAATGTTATTGTGTTTTTTACAGTTCAATATAACATTTTTTAAAGTTATATTTTAGGTTTAATTATATCGCAAAGATATATCAAACTCTTGAAAGAAAGTTTTGATAGAAATAGAATATGTTTTATTTCATTAAGAAAATTGCAATTGTTTAAAAAAGTGTGTTGCTTTTAACAATTACTTGTAAAAACTTTCTTTAAAATTTTAACTTCTTTATTATTACAATTAATATATATTAAAAATATAATATTATTATAATATTATTATTATAATATTAATTTTCAGAAAAAATTACATATTTTATAATTTTTTATAAATTTATCAAATATATTCAAAGGCCGTGTGATAATTTCAAACCGATCGGCCCAGCTGTTTCAGAGAAATTTTCTTCACCGACCCCGCCTATTTCACTAAGTTTAAACCTTTTTTACAAATAGGCTTATGTCTCCGAAACCATTTGCCGGATCAACTTCAAATTTTCGGAGAATATTCTCAAATGTATGTACATTCGATATAAATGTAATAAAAATTTGATTTTTATGAAGTTCACAAATGGCTATCACCCCTTAAATGAAATTAATCATTATATTTTAGTATGTATATTATTCATTCCGTTTCGTTAACTTCTGAATTTACTGTATTTTTCCAAATAAAAATGGAATTTTGATATGGCCTCGCTTTGATAAATCGTATCACAATTTCGTTGGTCTATCAATTTATTAATTATTTAGTTTATTTAAGTTTTTTCTTTTTCAAGGCGAGTTTCAGATTTAATTTGCTGTAGTAACATGTATAATTTTTATAATATAAAAATGTTTACTTTGTTTTATTTAAGTTTATTTTATTCATCTTTTTGTGCTATATTTATATAATTTTATGTGTTATTTCTATTTTTTTCAGTTTGTATTTATCACAAATGATTAATATTTTTTAAATAAATAATATATATATTTATTTATTTTGGCTAGTCTTTAGTCCTTACTAAAATATATTTTGTCATTTTCTTACCTTTCTTTCTGAAAAAAAAATTGAAATAGTTAAATAAATTTCGTTGGTTTTGTTAGTTAAGTAATTTCTTTTTACATAAACATAGTTCATGTTTTGTGAATTAAGTCTAGTACCCAAATTTATAAATATTTTTTTTTGCAAAAATAATAATTTTTTTAAACAGTTTATAAGAGATTATTATAAAAGAATGGTATGCTTTTTCAATTATTATATTTTTTTAAATAACTTTTAAATAAAGTTTTGATATGTGGAGATTTTCCTGTTTTATTTTATTTATTTTTTATTAATTTTTTTATTTTATTTTATTGTGTTATATAATATTTTATTTATTTCTATTGTTTTTTAAGTTTATGTCATTTTACTTTATTTACTCCCCTTAAACTGTATTTTCCCCTTCAAAAAGACAATAAATCATTTCACTTTGTGCTACTTTGATTTTATTTGAAGACCTAATCGGCCATTCATTGATGACGTCAACAACTTACATTAGCACCTACACTCACATGTATGTCCGCACACAATTACATGCATTCACTTACACCTACAAGCCAGAAATATTTTTTAATCATTTTTGCTTTTGCACTTTTAGCTGGTTTTGCCAGGTGAATTTCCATTCCTCACATTGCCTGAATAAAGAAAGAATGCAATAAGAACCAAGGAAAGAAGAAGAGTAGGTAGGCAACAGCAAAAACGCTGTGGATAAAATAAATGTGCATCGCAAAGCAAAAATTTTGTAAAATACTGGAATCGGCGAGAATTGAAATACAAAGGCTTCTACACTGGGCGCTACAAGTTTCAACTCGGCGCTTGGTTGTTGGGTATTTGTAAATTACAATTTTGAATATTCAATGAGCTCGCGGCTCAAATTACAACAAACATTCATAGTGGATTGGAAATGTTTGTTGGCCTTGATTTTATGGTTTTGTACTGTAGAGTGTCAATATTTTTTGATGTTTATGTATACAGATTATTATATATATTTATGTAAGTAGCTATAAGTTTTTGTAAACATATACATATATATATTTGTATGTATGTATATATGTTGGTATGTATGTATGTTTATACACTGAACAAGGTATATTAGTTTACCATGATATTTATAACACCCGCAAGGGAATGTCGGAGGCTCTAAAAATTATACTTATATGTACATAACTGACCAACGTGACGAGCTTAGTCGATTAAGTCTTGTCCGTCTGTCTATTTGTATATATAGGCGAACAAGTCACTCAGGTTTTGAGATATCGATCTGAAATTTCTCACATATCCTTTTCTCGTCAAAAATCTACTTATTTAATCAAGACAGCCTATATCGAACCCCTATAGCATATTGCTGCCATACAAACTGAAGATCAATCACATCAAAATTAAGTTTTTATATGAGCAAATTCTTTATTTGACAAGATATCTTCACGAAATTTTTCATTAGTTGCTGTCCAAATCAACGCAACAATCACCGAAGAAATTCCTCAGATCGGTTCACTATATCATATAGCTGCCATACAAATTCTTGTATGGAAAACTTCCAAGGTAACGCTAAAATCTCCGAAAAAGTTATTCAGTTCGGTCCCCTATTGCATTTAGGTACCATACAAACTGTCAAGATAAATAACATTTTATATTTTTTTATGCTATAAGAAGTGCACGTGTGAAGCGTATTATACTTTCGGTGCCGTCCAAGCTAACATTGTTTCTTGTTTTATGTACACTTTTATTGCTGAATAGACGAGATTCTTGTTTTACAAAATTTCTTTGTGTCTGCAGTTGATCTTCTGCTCGCTTGCTCAATTTCTTACTACAAATACATATAGATTTTTTATGTAATCGTATCGAATATAAATCTACTCGCGTATATATTAGTTGAGATTATTGTTGCAGCGTTTAGTTTTCTATATATTTTTCATATTATTCGCTTGACTTTCAAAAGCTATTAAGACCTGTTACACAATTGCCTTACTCTCGCATTTTAATTTTATTATTTGTAGAGTTAGAATTTTATTTTTCCTTTATTTATTAATTAGATTTTGCATTTCGCAAATAATAAATAAAAATAATCGCACAAAGCACATTTTTACCGCACCATTTCAGCGTTCCGACCGATTTGTTTGTGTGTGTGTTTGCTTGCTCAGCTGACCGTAAGCCGAGTTCTGCTTATTGCTCCACACACATATGTGTAGTTATGTATATAGTATTATATATTTATATAATGCACTGCACAATCGTTCTTGCATTCGCCTAACGCTCTTGTTGTTTTTTGTTGCTTTGTGTACCGTAGCGTTTGATTTGCGAAACAAGACTAAAACCACACACTACCGCTGCAGCTGCTGTTACTATCGCTACTGCTGTACACGCACACACGCACACACATTATACATATATGTCTATATGTGTGTCTGCAGTAGTGGGGCTAATGTTGTTGGTGTTGTTTGCAGATGTTGATAGTTGTGGTAATAGTGATCTTTGAATCGTCAATGTGCGCGGAAAGAGCTGAAGATGGGCTAACGGGAACGGCACGCTTGACTTCAAAGCCGGCAAAAAAGCAAGCACAAAACTAGTAATGAAATAAACAAAATTCTCAGAGAGCGCACAAGCGATAGAGAGTGAGTGTGCAGGTGCACTGCTGGGAGACTCTCCATATGCGTAGAGTAAACACAATACACATATAATGCACTACTGCAATGTATATATGTATGTATGTGTGTATTTATGCTTGTCCTTTGTTGTCGTTGCACTACAGCGCATCGTCAAGGTGTTGATAGGTAGGGGGGAGTTTGAGAGTGCGCTTGTCAGCAGCGTGTAGTTGGAGAGTGCTTACTTTGCTGCGCTCATGGCTCACAGCTCACAGCTGATGCGTCGCCGTCATCGCCAATCGTTCACGTTTACGGCACGTTTTTTTTAGATTTTGTTGTCTATTACTTTATGCGGCGCGTTCAAAGTGTGCCGTCATGGTTGCATGTTTTGTTGTTATTTATGCTTTTTCCGGTATTACTGCGGCGCTGTGTTGCCACAATGGATTTCATGATACAAAATTGAGGAAAAATGCTACTACAACTACTAATTGGTGCTAGACAAAGTCACGTGCTGTTGGTGAAGCGCCGAAAGGCATTGTCCTAACATACATAGATATACATAACTACATACATACATATATAAAATTTCTTCTCAGAAATACCAAACATAGTCGCTAACGAGCAAGCGCTCTTGCAGTCCGAGACTTTTGCTTAGATTTTTTTTTATTGTTTGGTAGTTGAAAATAAGGAAATGTCTATTAAATAAAAGTAAACAAGCAGAAATTACGACAATTTCGCGTTCACAAAAATACAGACTTACAAATTCGTATATGTATGTATGTATGTGTGCGAGCGTGTATGTGTTGGAAAAGTAAACAAGTGCAAAAACTTGGAAGCACCGCATAACGAGGCTAACTGCTTGACTGTTTCGCAATTTTCCTTTCACATTGCGCTGATTTCGTAGCCCATTTTTAAATACGCTCATCGCTAGTTTGTTTTTCATTTTCACACGATTTTTTGTTGGCATTGTGAAATTTAGCATTATATTTTTGAAATTACTAAGCATTTGCGTATTGAAAGCGCTTTTTTGAAAATAATTTTTTTTTGTGTTTGGTTTTTCTGAGAATATTTTTTTGTTTTATTTGTAACTTTTTATTTTTATATGGTTTCAAAACTTTTATGAGCAAAATATGTATATTTAAGTTTTTATTTTACTGTTTTTGTATATATTATATTTTTCATTTATATTTTATTAAAAATAATTGTAATTTAATTGATAGCGAAGGTCGAAAAACGTTTGGTCGAACAAAAGCCATCCGAAATTTACTTGTGTTCTATACAATTAGGCATTTACAGCAGTTTTCATAAAATACAAATTTTTTAGCAGTATCTAAATATGTACGAAATGTAAAATTTTATGTATATTTTTTGTATTGTACTCGCACACATACATATGTATATATTTTTTTAATTTATTTTATATAAATTTTGAATAAAAAATTATTTGTCAAAATAAGAAATAAAAATAATAATTTTTATGAATATTTTATATTAATTTATTATTTTAATTTTAATGTTTTTTTATTTCTTTTAAATCTTTTCATATATTTTTTAATTATTTATAATTTTCATTAAGATTAAAAACATTTTAAATTGGTGGTGAATTTTTATATATTATTTACATAACTTTTTTTTTTGTTGAAGTGTCCAAATAGGAAATGTAAATTTTTATGAATATATATTATTTTTATGTAAATTGTTTTATTTATTTATATTTTAAAAATTTTGTTATATAGATTTTTTTAAGGTAAAATATTAAGTACATTTTAAAATTGTAGTTAATTTTAATTTATAAAAAACTTTTGAGTCAAATTATTTTTTTTTCTCATTAAAATTATAAACAGGCACTGATCTTGCGCCTCACTGAGGAAGTAAAGCCATTTTTATGTTTACTTGGCATTGTTTAAGTTTAAAAAAATAACATTTATAAATTTAAGATTTTAGCACGTGAAATTAGTTTTTTTTTTATCAATTAAAATTTAAAATAAATAATTATTTATTGATTTTTGCTAGTTTCTCGTGTTAACTAAAATATATTTCAGCATTAATTTTTTCATTTATTAAATGAAAAATATATGTACCTATATTTATTTATTTCGCTTGTTGCTTTTGTTTAAATATATTTCATCATTGTTACGATATTCCGAAACAATTTATTAAACTTTCCTTTAACTTTTGATTTAATTAATTTTTTTACTATATATCGCGTTTAGTAAATTATAACGAGCACTTAAACTCGTAAGTTGAATTTTTCTGCAATTTTATTCTTGAGCAATATAAGCAAGAAAAACAATAATTTTAATTTTTTTTTAAATTTGGATAATTATAAAAAATTTTTGGAATAATTTCTAAATAAATACTTTTATGTGTTTTTATATATTTTTACTATTTTTTTCTGCAATTTATTATTAACCTAAGGAGAATTTTTTTTCATTATAATTTTAAAAATTTAGAATTTAAAAATTAAGCCCAGGACTTTAACGGACCAACTACTACTTAAAAAATCCTAAACCAAACTCTTTCCTTCATACACATCTTCGTTGTCGCTGCTTTTTTCCTTTGTCTGTGAATTTGCGGAATTCAGTATTTTGATTTAAAGTAAAACATCTTAAAATAAGCTTAAGAATAAATCTTTTAACACATTCTCAACACTTTACATTTATCAGCATTTATATTCAAGCGATTTTTACCTATTTTATAGTAATTATTTTTCCAAATTTTTACTTTTCTCTTTTCTTAGAATTTATGATTTTTTTGGTCGCGTTTCAGCTTTGGAGCTTCGAGAACGACGCGAAGTTACGGCGACGTTTAAAGTCGAACTGAACTGAACTCAAGCGAACTAAAATGGAAATTAACATTGAAACTCACGAAATTCACTCGCTGTTACCTCCGATTGTTAACTGCGCCGCGCTGAGCAATACTGAGCTCCGCTGACATTTTCATTGTCGTTGGCGTCATGCTCAGCTGTCTGCCGATTTGAGTGTGTGTCTGTATATCTGCAAGAGTGTTTGTGTTCTTATGTTACTACAGCTTTACCAAATATGTAACAGAAGTGAGTTGTTAACCCTAACATGGCGACTATATACTTAAAGTACCTATTTTCCGTAAGAAAAAGAAAGAATTGTAAAAGTGTTATATTTAATCCAAGTGTAGTTGTAAAATATATGTATCTTTGAAACCTGGTGACTATTATGCGAAACTATAAATAACTTATGAATTATCAAGTATTTATTTACTAAAATTTTTTAAATACTTATTTAAGCTCAAATAGCCCTGAGTAATTGCTTTAGAATATTAGCATTTCGTAGTTTATCTGCAGTGGTTTTAATTAGCAGAAAAATTCAAATGTTTTTTCATTAAACTTGCCCCGAACGTGTCAGTTTATAAAATTCAAAATAGGTTATATGATTCTTCTCCTGACTGTTCCTCTCTGCTTGTTTTTTTTCTTTTCTATTTTTAATCAATTTTTAACAATTCTTTCTGTTTTTTTTTATTTTTTGAATCTTATAGGGTGTTATTGTAGAACTATAGAATTTTCTAGAGGGATAGCTGCCAAACCAACTGTCAAAGTGAACTCATTCGTTAAAAAATATTGCTCAGCATATCTTGACAAAAGACTTCGAAATGTTTTACTACGAAAAAGTGTTTAAAAATCGTAAACATTTATTTTCAAATGTAATCGAGTGTGACAAATGCCACTTTTCTGACTAATCCGATATGTAAATATGCAATATTGTCTTATTCGGTTTGGATCTAGGATCCTTCGCCACTAAAAAAAGTTACAACATTATGTGGTTTCCAAGACGACGGAATTTTTAGTCTACATTTTTTAGAACTGAAGATAGTGCCAACGTTTCTTTTTATTGTTGAGTTCTACCAGCAAGTTTTTCTAGACTTTTATTGTTCTTAAATCAATATCAATGAACATAATACATCATCTTTTTATAGCGAGGAACTTCGATGAATCGGATTATAGCAAGAATTTGGTAATTTACAAGTAATTTGCCAATTTTATCGACGTCCATAATTATTCGATTATCTTTGGTAAAAAATTGGCTGAGAAACTTGAAATTCGGTGTGGTTTTAACGAAATAAGACCGGTTAATTGAGAAAAATTTTGAGCTATTAAATGTGGTTTTTATTTGTAATAAATTATTTATACCTTTAAAAAACACACAATTTACTTACAATCAAAAGGCAACCAGAAGATTTTTGGTGTTAACAAAATATTAGGACTTTTACAATATCTATGCATCACTATGGCATACATATTCTTTAAACCAATCAATTCCATGATAAGTTTTTTTTTTTACAAAAAGTCGATTATTTACCGGTGCCATCACCCAAACAAGACCGCAAGCATTTAGCCAGACAACAAAGAGAGAAACACACAAGCGTAGCTGAGAGCGCGTCGGACATTGTATACCATATGTCTGTGCACCGAATGCACACAAAAAAATCAAAATTTGATTTAAGACACTGAAAATAGCAAATAGACGTCCGAAGCGATAACACAAGTAGCGGAGGAGGTGGGAGATAACGCAATTACAGTTTGCAGGTAGCGTAAAATATTTACTTGTACTTTCTTTCTGCAAAAGCAACAAATTGCACCGCCGCACAACAAATACTTACACACACATACACGGTTACATATTTTTACCTGCTTAATGCAAACGCAAATATGCGTTGTGCACTTTGACTTAGTCAGCGCTCACCTACTAGCACATGGTCTCTGGCAGAGCACAGCTGGTGGCGAAACCAGTTTCTAATCCCATTAAACCAGTGCTAAATAAACAAACATTGCAGAGAGTGCACGATGAGAGTGAATCAAGCGCAGAGAAGTTAAGAGAGAGCAACGCAACGAACTTGTTGAAAATATTGGCCTTTTGTTTTTGTATTTGCTACGTTGTTAACATACATTGGTGTCTTATCAATATTATATTACTTACGACTGGTCAAGCCTGTTGTCCGCTGTGCCGCCAGCTGTTTTACCTCAGCTGGCTGCTTGATATCGATTTTTATCCTCCCCCAATATGAGTGCACTCGTAGATGTGAGTCAGCACACCGGTGTGTGGGGCTGATTAACTGTAAATTTTTTTGCACACCTATAATATATCTGCGTTCAAGACAGCTGCAGTTGTTGCGTGCACATATTGACAGTTAACATAAGTCTGTTAAGTTCATAAATCTGTTAACAGTGAGTTTTTGATAATCAAATGTCACATGAAAAAAAAAGTAGAATAAAGAAATATTACGTTTGTTATGCTGTTACAAGACGGTTCTCATTTTGATTATGTGTGTAGTGGTAGTATATATGTGTGTGAGCATATTTCCGCTGCGGCAGTTGTTGTTTAATGCAAGTGAAATTCCATGCCGCCGAAAAGCATGCAATGAATTTGTGTTATTTTATTGTAAAAGAAATATTTCGAACTATGCTGTGGCAACTTCGTTATTCTCAAACAAAAAATACGTATGTGTGTATGTGAGTCTACACATCCTATGCGTTTGTAAAAATATCTTACTTACATACATACTTACTATATTTGTTTGCCGAGAACTGAGAAATTTTCCGTACTTCTTTGAACCTTTTGTTTTCAATTACAATGTTTGCACCTTTTTTTCCAATTTTTGTTACTTGCAGACATTGCGCTGATAATATGGATTTTTGTGAATTATATGATTTTTGTAGCGAACTTTCTTAATTCTCTCCGTACCCATTTCCAGATGCAGAGCCAATTTTAAAGAGCCCAGCCGAGTCTACTCTACTACTATTTCCATAAGTTATTATCAACTTCGGATTCCAATCTTATATTCTAATGATGAAATTCTCAATTGACCTGTCAGAAACTATGATATAAAGAGTCTTCGTCAATAAATCAGCTACGCGTCGAAACCTCGTATCCAGCATTACTTGTAAAAATTAAGAAAAGCTTAATTTTTATGAATGAACTAATATTTTAGTTAATTTGTTTAAAAAAAGAAATACCTGAGGTTACTACCTTTGATAATAATAAATTTTGCTTTATGAAGTTGTATATACATACATATGTATGTTTTAAATTTTAGGCTGATTAAAATCGCCTATATGAAATCCCCTACTTATTATTTGAATTTCTATAACTGTCTAACTTTTCCATACGAATGTAGTTTTGTCTTAAATCGAGATACACCTGTTTTATAACCTTAAAAAATTTACCAAATATTTGTGTTTGGTTTAAAGGTTATCGACCCTGTTCTATAATTAGAATTTGTTACACACCGTTCAGAGTAATATTTTTAATAGTTTATTTCTTACAGGTCAATATCCACGCGAAAGGATTATACGATCTGTGGGCATGGTAAGTCAAGTTTAATTAACTATCTATTACATTTTGTAACCATGCTACTTATTGTATAAGAAAAAAATCCATATTGTCTATACAAATTATTTTTACCAGAATTTGCAAAGTATATATTTCTTTTATAAACAACTTATCATATTAAGTGTTGAACAAATATCGTAAGTGGAAAATCAGAAATTGTTAAATTGTGACGAAAGTTCTCAAATGTATGTATGTACATACAGATGTATTTGCAATTAAAAACTCTCTCCGTCGTTGTCCGGATTTAATGGATACTTATAATAATAACACATATTCATACACATATGTACATATGTATACTTGATCGTATCTACAATAAGTATGCATTTATATGGGTGTTGTTTTAATATTAATACGAACAAGCGGCTGCTTGACAGTTTTTAGAAATTATTTTGACTATTCTCACGCAATAGTTGCTATTCTGTTTTTTTGTTTTGTTTTTTAATATGTGAGATGTTTGTTTTATCGCCGTGTTTTGGTTTTATTCTTTCAACAAGTGGTTCAAAATACGACACACCCATTTTGGACTTTGTTGAGTTGACTATGTTGACATATACATACTTATGCATATATATAGAGATATATATTATACATACATTTTCATACAGTTGTGTTTAAAAAAATAAGAGCGAAGTACAAAAGAAAATTTTTAAACCATCTGACCCATCTAAAAAGAAAATTACATATAAGAAAATAACCAAAAAGTTTTATTTTGAGATCATTGACTTGTTTACAGTTGTTTTCCTGCCTCGGAACATTTTCTAGCAATCAATTTCTGTTCGCAACTGTATAGTTAGTTAGGCAACAAAGGTATTTTCCAAAATTAACTTTTGTATTTAGTCAGAAAATTGTTGATTGTGAGCAGCCTAACCAAATGGTGGAGTAGTCAAGGAAAGCAATTTAACCATAGATATACGGTTAACGGTATAATTTAAAAAAAATTAGTGATAACATGTTTTGAGATAATTCTTATTTTTTGGAAAACCCGATTTTGAACAATATTGAGTTTTCGATTCGTCACTTTTCTACTCGCTTATCTGATCTCTGTTCACTTGTCTGTTACATGTAACAGTAATTTCTTAGACTTTCTATTCTAACTCTAGTTGACCCACTTCTCTCTTTCTCTATATATTTAGTTTACACCAGCTGTGTTGTTCGATTCGCCACTTTCCGATGCTTGGTAGATAGTAGAAAAATTATTGAATCAAATAGTATCATGAATGGCTTTTATTTTTTGCACAGCACTGTATATGTAAACTCGTATATTTTGACCGTTTTATAATCCTTCATTGGTGGCCGATAAATTTCAACTGTGCTAAGTTTAAAGTCAATGTCGACCAAGGAAATAAAACCCGTCATAACTAATAACTGTTTAATTGCCTACAGATATTTGTTTATCACCAAAGAAAAAGTACAGTACAAACCAGTTAATTTTTATGATAATTACTGCCATATAAAAAATTTTGTAATTCCTACCTTTTATTTGATTAACGAGTGACAAAGCGCAATGCAAGCGTTTTCGGTCCGGGCTTTGCATTTAGTGGGGATCAAAGTATCTCTCGGTGGTGATGGGTGCAAAGTTCTATTATGTTTTAAGACGGAATATCTCAATTTATTGATAGCCAGTGCGATAAAGGGCAAAGTGCCAAGTTGTTCATTGAATTAGTGAAATTGTTTATTGAATAATTTAAACTTTCATACACATAAAATATAAAGTTTAAGCGATATTTAGTGCATTATAGAAGTGAAATGTAATACTGTTAGGTTAGTTTATCTCGACATTGACAACTGAATCTAAATTGTTAATCTTCATTGAGTTGAGAGCTCTTTATACAGTTTTCTCTTTCTACTTTCTAGAAAAAAAATTTGTATTCCCAAACTCCCTCGTTGATTCGTTCTTTTGCTACAAAGTCTTAAACTCAAATCACACTATCTTCTAATAATGTATATTTATTTATAAACAACAATCTTAAATATGTGACATTACGTTCATACAGTCGGGGCCATAAAAATTCGTTATGTTTTGGAAATAAACTTTATTATACCTATATACTGAATTTTTATGTCCCCCCTCGAATAGAAATTTTAATGTTTAATTCAAATTTTTATACAAAATTGTGATAAAATAATTTTAGGACAGCGGATTTTTGATATTATACTATATTCAAGCTCTACCAATAGTGGTTGATTTCGATAGATGTTCGCTACCGGCGAATTCGTGTCAAAAGTGTTGACATTTACTGATTTCAACAAGATTATGTGCTATGTCACACTGCCACTCAAACTACTAATTTTATGCGAAAATCCGCTTTGCTTCTGTTTTAATAAATAAGTGACATCGAAAACATAGATCTGCAGTATTTATGGTTTTTGAATATACCAAGTTTATTAAAACCATTGCAAGTACAGTTTCTCAGAGGTTCACCGAATTAATAAGTCCCTCAGTTCTGATTGCATGATTGCAATTATTAAAATTTGAACAGTATTTTTCGAAGAATATTAAAGAGAGAAAGATGTATAGATTTTTATGTTCGATATTCATTTATTTCTTATAAAAATTTTAATAATTCATATTTAGTTTCATTTATTTTTTTATAAATATTGCATATTTTTTTTGAAAACGCTCACTTTTGTGAGCAAAAAACAATAAGTAATTCGTATTTCCAACTTTGCTGAAAAAAAATTTAGAAGTTAGGCAATTTTTCAACAATTTAAGTCATTATCTTTAGTGTGACAGCCTAAAAAAAGGGGATTTGGGCGAATTGAAGAGTATATTTATACATATTTTAAGAATACAAAGTAAAAATTAAATATTTTATAAAGTTACACGCGATCTCAAAAACTAACAAAATGGCAGCGTTTTAATCAAAAAGTAGAATTTTACCCCAATTTTGAACGCTTTTGGTCTGGTTAATCTCGAAAACTAAAAAATACTTTGTAGGTTCGCAAATTTGAGAAATACTTTTTCGATCGAAGATAAACTGATTGATCTGATTGTACTGAAGCTAAAACAATATTTGAGATATCGATTAAAAATATTAATATGTTATTTTGAAGGTACAAATGATATATCCTGTCTAACCTAAATAAATCGATTTTTTTTTTTAATTTTACACTAGGTGTGCCTCTTAAACCGAACAAAGCGAACAATTCGAAAATTTTATATGGTTTGAGTTTAGCTTCTTTAAAAGCGGTATCACCAAATAGTCGGAATATTCGTCATTTGTACTGTGACGCATTGTTTTCATATGAAATTTTATGTCAGCAGATGTTTCTGCATGTCTGTAAATAATAAGTAATGACGAGTTTTTTCGCGGTGTTTGATATTTATTTTAAGATCTCGCTACATGCACTCTCTGGATGAGTAAAGCCCCCGAACGCTTTGCACATTTTTCCGCTTTGATATCCAGTATTAATATTTTTGGAATGATGATGCCGTAATGTGATTTGAATTCGTTTTATGAAAATAACTTTTTCATAATTTGTTTTATTTATTTATATTTTTTATTTATTTTTTATAAAATGAACGAGTTGGCACAAGCCCTTGAAGCCTTGTTAGCTAACACCATCGGCAAGTGGGGGTGAGAACACTGAAAGTGAATGCAGGTAAACACAACAACAGCACATACAACCATCGTAAACTGATAATATAGTCACCTAACACTTGTTTTTATTTTTGGTAATGAAAAATTGATAATGACCGTGCTTTATCAATGATAAATACTGCACAATCTATACTATACCACACCGGACTGATTGTGTGTTAGAGGGGCGGGGCGGATCGGTTTGGCGAACTGTTGTGCGAACGCTTCTGGTGCTAAAAACGTTCAGTTGCTGTCGAGCGGCGAAGCAGTTAAGTTGTTGTTTTGTCGATGTGAATACACAAACATACGTGCATATAATTTTGGAAACCTTAGGTGGCGACAAAAGCCTGACGGGAATTTAAGCCGTGCTGCGTATTTGCGACGAGTTGGGAAACGAATTAAGCACAAACAAGCTGAGATAATTGTCGCGCATTGACTATTTTGTAGGCGCGTGTTTCGAAATAGAGCTGTGCATGGATAGCAAAAAAAAAATGTAATTACTTACTTACAACTAAACGATAATACTCTATAACATTGAGAAAACGCTTGTGGATTTAGTTTTTTCCTACATATTATTTAAATAATTTTATTGTTATTGCTGCTGCAGTTGATTATTGTGTGGTGATCGTTATTTAATGTGACGTGTATATTAAATGTCATAATTAAAATGAAATTAGAAAAAAACATAATGCAATCAACTGAATAATTAAACTGATAAAGGCAGTCGCATTGCGGACGTGAATATTAATGTGAAGAAATAAGAATTAAAATGTATAAAGGTCGCAAAATTTTAGGAAAATATTATTGAAATGTTTTCAAATAGTAGAAAGTAGCATTTACTTAAATAAAAAAACAAAATGAAAATAGTGCAATTTATTAAAACGTAATTGAAATATGGAGGAAGGTCGGGGAAAAAAAATATATTAAACTCAAAAAACAAAACAAAAATAATAATATGTATGAAATAATAAAAGTGATAATATATAATATGTATTTGTAAAAATTATTACAAATAATAAAATAAAAAAAAATATATATTGTAAAAAGCTTAATAAAAATAATATCAACAAAGAAGAAAATAAAATAAGTTCAAATAAATGATAAAATGAAAAGTCAGTAAAACATGAATAGAAAGTCACATAAAATGTAAAATTATTATATCAGCACATTTTTACTTATATAAAATATTAAACAAATACGTTAATAAAATAAAAGTTATAACTAAATTATACAAACATCAATAAAAATCTCAGCAAAAGTAAATAAAAATATTAAATAAAAAAAAATTTTACCAAATATTAAAAAATAAATGTTTACCAAATATTAAAAAAAAAAATTTTAAATCGTTATTTTACTAAAAAACAATAACCAAAAATAAATTAAAATAATAAT